AGCCAGGAGGAGCAGTGGGGAGCAGAGAGATTTAAAAGGATGAATTTTTTTTTAGAAGGTAAAGAGGAGGGGATCTCAGGAATCCCAGAACCCAGCCAGGACCCATATGGGCCCTGTTCCCTCTGAACTGGAACCAGTGGTTGTTCACCTGGGAGCCACCACACAGCCAAGGATTGGCCCAGTCAAGCACTTGAGTCCACTGAGGGCCAGACGGGGACTAGGGGGTGAGGGGTGGGGGGTCCGGGCAGGACAGGACAAGGTTGACATATGCCCAAGGCATTTACCAGAACTGGTGACCTAGATCCAGGGGGGTCCTCATGGCCTTCCCCCCGGAAGCCGCTATTTCCAATGCATGCAGGATGCAGTCTTAACCAGGGAAATGAAGTTCAGCCATAACTATGCAAAGTTAATAACTGCTGCCTCACTGTCTGTTTCACTATTAGCATTATCATTGCCATTATTATTTTAAGGAGGGGTCATCTGTGCTTTGAATCCCAGATTTATGTCTCTGCCCTCCTTTCAACTACACTTTGATTTTTTTAAAAAGATTTTATGTATTTATTCATGAGAGACAGAGAGAGAGAAAGAGAGGAGGAGACACAGGCAGAGGGAGAAGCAGGCTCCCTGCCGGGAAACCAACATGGGACTCCATCCCAGGACCCCAGGATCGCGACCTGAGCCGAAGGCAGACGCTCAACCCCTGAGCCACCCAGGTGCCCCCAGAAGTTTTATTCCACGTGGCAGTCATTGCCAACCACTGATGGGGAAATTAAACTCTCTGGCCTGTGGCACTGATGGTCCAGTTTGATCCATGGGCAGGCGATCTGTGTGTGTCTGTGGCTTTTCTGGTGTCACTGGAGGTCCGAATCGAGTTAGGGTTGCCGTTGGGGAAAAAAAAAAAAAAAGTGTTTTTCATGGATTGAGTTGCATGGGCGGGCAGTGTTGCCAAGAACACATCTCGCTTCTTCCACTCTGACCTTGCTGTGCCCCCTCAGCCTTTGGGGGCCTGCCTGACAACACCTCTGGCCCTGGCAGTCTGGGTGTTTCTGGAACCACCTAAAACCCCAGGGGGAGAACCCAGGGTAAGTCAGGCCCCAAACCTTCTGCTTCAGTTTGGCCCTGGCTTGTTCAGGGAGACTGGTGTGTTGTAAATAGATTAGGGGACCTTTTATTGAAAAAGGCCTAGAAATGGCTTCCTCCCTGTGGGTGGTATGGTCATCTGGGGTGATGTTTCCTGCTGCTGGTGAGGTCACTCAGCCACAGTCCCCGTGGCTCTCTCCAGACATCCGCCCGGCCTGGCCTGGCCACTTTCCTGCCTCAGGCTTGCAGTAGCTCTGTGTTTTGGGTTTGGCCAGAGTTGGCCAAGATGAGGAGGGAGGCTGAGCTGAATCCTTCACCATTTTTTTTTAAGATTTTATTTATTCATGACAGACATAGAGAGGCAGAGACATAGGCAGAGGGAGAAGCAGGCTCCCAGTATGGGACTTGATCCCAGGACCCCGGGATCACGACCTGAGCCAAAGGCAGATGCTCAACTGCTGAGCTGCCCAGGCGCCCCCTTCAGGCAGTTCCATTGCCCTGATGAAGTTGAGGCCAAAATATGTGGTTCTTGCAGGAAGGGGGGACTCCAGCTTCTGGGGGCGGGGCTTGTAAGGGACCCAAACCAGCAAGTGCAGCAGAAGGGGCCTTCTGGGGAGTGGGGTTCTGACTTCAACCCGCATCCCCTTGTGATTTCAGATCCTCCTCCTGCAGACTCTGAGCACAGGATGCCACCGTGGCTCCTCCTCTCTGTCATCAGGATTCCCCGTGTGGGGGGTAGGGGGACCCACAGGGGCAGCCCCACCCTGCTCTTCGCTCTCAGCAGGCTCTCATTAGTTTCCCCACATCCCACAGATGCAGCAGCTTCAGTGGGAAGGTTGCTTGGGGCCCAGCCCAGGTCACTGTTGCCATGCTGTGAGTCACCTCTCCCTGCCACCCTCCTGTCTTGCTCCGTTTGCCGCCAGGAGTCACCGTGGTTGTCCTTTCTCAGTCCACATGAGTCTTGCTTTTGCCCATAAGATTGCATTTTGTCTTGGCCACAAGCCCCCTTCAGCTATAAGAAGAGCTGGTGCTCCCGCATAGACCCGGCGTAGAGGCCACCCAGCTGACCTTGGAGCACAGCCTTGCAGATGCGTGCCGCCCCGCTCCCAGACGGCTTCCACAAGCTCCCACGGGGCAGAAGGGACTGCTGAGGCTTCTCTGAAATCAGGCATCAGCCACCAGAAGGATGGGGCAACAGCAAAAAGTGGGCATCTCCCTGGGAACCGTGCCCATGGGGGAGAACGGGGCTGTTTTTCCCTGGAGACAGGAAGGGTGCATCACATGGGAACCTACATGTGCTGCCATGGTGTCCGTCCTTCCATTTGCCCATCTGTCCAGGCACCCAGCAGGGCAGGGGGGAGCCTGCCACAGACCTGTCTCTCAAGGACGTGGGATAGGGGTCAAGGTCAAAGTGTGTGCTGTCTGAGAAGTGGGACAAAGGGTCGATTCCCTGGGAGGAGCTAGTGGAGTGCAAGTGTGTGTGCTGGGGGCTCCTGGGTCTGGTTTTCAGGCAAATCTGGGGCAGATTATGTGCAGGAGGTCCAGGCGGGGGTGTGCTCCAGGGAGCAGCCCCCGGGAGGGAAGCAAAGCAGTACCAGGTACAGTCACAAGGCCTGTCAGCCCCTGCCGGCTCTGAGCTGGGTGGCCACGCGGGATTATTTGACTTGGGCAAGGGGATTGATTGGTGGGCTTTTTAACCCCCCACATTGACCAGCCATTGGATGTGCAGCGCCCCCCACCCCTCACCCCAGCCGTAGCCTCTGCAGCTGGAGACATCTGGGGGATGCACTACAGCGTTCACTCTGGAGAGTTTGGGCATCTGACAGCAGGGGAGAAATGCAGTCTGGGGAGGCTGCCTGGTGGAAGAGACATTTGGTAAGATTCGGCCCTCCGGGGGTGGTAGTGGGGTAAGGCGTGTTGCAAGACCAGCAAATGTGCTGGAGTGAAGTGAATGCTGGACAGACGGATAGGGATGCCCTACTGCCGGGGCTCTGAGGTTTGGACTTTATTCTGTGTGCCATGTGGGGGACGAGCCAGCAAAGGATTGTCCCTGTGTGTGACCTGTAGCAAGAGCAGGGCTCTGGGGTGAGCGCCCCCCCGGCCCCTCCTAACATGGGAAGCCACTGAGCCTGATTTTCTGGTCACTCCTCAGCTGTCCCCTCCATGGTCACATCTCCCTTCTGCTCCTGTCACTCACCCTCTGCTCTGAAGTCTCGCCTTTAAGACACAAAGGGACCAATACCTCCACCCCGCCCACTTCCTCCTCCTGGAGCCATAAACCCCTTGAACCCAAACAGTAGGTTTAAGATTTTAAGACCACTGACCAAAGCTGGAGGGCAGGAGTGTTGGGACCCGAAAGACCAACTAGCCCAACCATTTCATTTCAGATGGAGAATCAGAGGACCAGAGAGGCCATGTGAGCTGCCGAGGGCCACACAGCCCGTTACAGGCAGCACTGAGGCAGGAATCCAGTTCCCTTGAATCCAAATTGAAGAGAAGCTGTTGAAAAGTGTTGCTTATTTTTGTTTTTAGCATCTCAGACCACTGAGATTTCACTAACAATTTTTGATTAGTCCATTATATGGACATAGTATCATTTAACTAAAAATATACCGAATGTGGGCATTTGGCACCAACACAGTGGTTGCTGTGAGTGGATACCCTTACCGATCACCTTTTACAGAGGAGGAAACCAAGGAACCTGGAGGATGGTTAGCCTGGCCTGAGGTTCCAGGGGTCGGAGGAGGCAGAGGCAGGATTGCAACCCAGGTGGTCTGGACGCAGAATCGGCGCTGTTCATAGATGCTAAGCAGGGTGCTCTTCGTGGGTTGGGAAAAATAAAAGAGTCGATCAGTGAAAAGAAGGGATAGATGATTTTTGTTTGATTTTAAAGGTGTGTGTACACAGCTCGAGAATAAATCACTGAAGATACTAAAACGTTGACACTGAGGACCTCTGAGCTGGTGGGACCATGTGGGCTACTCTTTTCTTTTTTCTTTTCTTTCTTTCTTCCTTCAGTTGATTTTATTTATTTATTTGAGAGAACGTGAATGAACAAGGGCAGAGTGAGAAGCAGACTCCCCGCTGAGCAGGGAGTCCGATGCGGGACTCTATCCCAGGACCCTGGCTTCACGGCCTGAGCTGAAGGCAGACGCTTCACCCACTGAGCCACCCGGTGTCCCGGTGCTACTCTTTCCTTTGTGTTTTTCTACACTGTCGAATTGTATAGCATGAGAAAGGATCGTCTTCATCGCTAGATAATTTGATGAGAGGTCTGTGCTCACAGCGGCCCTGTGCCTAACGTCACATTCAGGGAGGCGAGCACCTGTTGCAACGTTAGCTTTACTTCCTGACTGGCCCCTGTAGCTGGGCATCCGGGGAGGGACAGGTGGCCAGTCTCACGCAGCGATTATAATTCAGACAAGATGTGGGCCTTTAGAGCCGAGAAGGACTTGAGAAATCACCCGCATTTTGCAGAAGATCCCCCCTCCTTTGTCTCTGTATTAAACCACCCCAACCCCTCCCAGGCCAGGGTTCCTTCCTCTGGCTCGGGGGTTTCGGGCGACACTGGTCACTTGGAAGAAATGCCCTGTTGGCAGGTGGGGGTCAGGGGCACGAGACAGAAGTGGAGATTTGTGAGTTGGCACCTTTGGGGGATTGTTGGGGGTGCAATGGGGACTGTTCCCAAAGATCCCTGCTGGGAGGTCACCTCTCCTGCTCCTTCATAGAAGGGTCCCCAGTGAAGAGAAACTGTGCATCATAGGAAATGCAGAGGGGCAATAATGTGGGAGCAAAAAGCCCACTCCTGCTTCCCAGGGTTGTGCAGGAAGGTGGCCAGCCCACGGCCCTGCTCCATGACCCTCTGAGGTTTGGCCCCTGTGAGAGTCTCAAAGTGATTGTGTGTTTCTTTCTTTGACCAGAGACCACCTGGGAACGTCCCAGCAGTTCTCCTGGGATTCCAGCCAGCCCTGGCCCTCACAGGAGCTCTCTGCCTCCAACAGGTACTGTCCACTCACTGCTTTGGGGGCAGCTGGGAGGGGCCCCATACCCACCTCCACTGGAAAGGCCAAGACTCTGGGTTCTGGGGGTCTGGAACCTGGCTGAAGATCTTACTGGACAAACCCAGGGAGTGATGTGGAGGGCTGGGAGGCTGGGCTCTCCCTGGTAGTGTCACTAGCAGCCCGATGGCTCACCCTCACTCCCTCTCAGGTGCTTAAGGAGGGGAACTAGCCAGGTGACACAGTGAGGCATCAGGGTTGTACCCTGACTGCTGGTGTGGATACCCCAAGCGGGAGCAGCACTGCTCTGCACAGCTCCTAAATGCATCAAGGAGAAAAGTTAAAGGAGGCAGATTTGTATGGGGCAACTTTCAAATAGAATGTTCTAGAAAGCACTTGGGATTCCTCGTTAGGGTGTGAGTTCTCTGTCTGCAAAGGCAATCAAGTGGAGGTGGTCGAGGGAGACATTCCTATCATAGGTGGGGGTTTTGTTCCAAGTTCCTAAGAGGCAGGTGGATTTTTAGAGCCCTTACCCATCAGCCCAGGTTGCAGTAATGTGCTGTTTCACTGCCCTGGCCAGCTGTGGCTCTCCCACACTGGACTATATGCTCTCTGAGGATGGGGATTGCACCTCCCCTTTTCTTCCGTGGGACCTTCAGCCCCCAGACACGAGCTGGCTTCTGTATTGAGGGAGCTCCATCATCATGGGGTGGGGAGTGTGAGGAGGGTAGGGGTGAGAAGAGGAGGGGAGAGGCAGCAGCTTCCATTGAGGGGGGTGAGGGCCTGTACAGCCTTCATGGAGCTGACATAACCCATCACAGGGGACCAAGGGAAGAGCTAAAATAACGACGGAAGAGTGGCTGTGTGAACGCATGAACGAAGGTATACAGGCACGTATAGAAAATATGAGCAGGACTTTGAACCCTCGCATCAGAAGAAGGGTCTTGGGTGCAGGGCCGCACCCCTGCCTTGCAGCCCTGAGGTCTTCAGACACTCTTTACCCCTGATACGTTAGGAACTCTACAGTTTATTGTATGATGCATATAAGATAAAGCATATGACCAAAGTGTGTTATTTGAGGAAATGAGAATTGTCAGAGCAGAGGAGTTCAAGAAACAAAACAGTAGGAAAATGCAGCTCTGGAGACTCAGCCAAGGCACGAGAGAGGGGGTGAGTGGGTGTTCTAGGCTTTTAAAATGTTTTTATTGACATTATTTATATATATACATATATTTATGTATGCTGTCAATTTGTATGTATGTAAAATGTAAATAAACCTCTAAATATATAAATACATATTTATATATTTTATATATAAATGGATATGCAAATATATAAACAAGTAAGTATATATATACTTGTTTATATACATATATACAGACATATATATATATTTTATTTCTTTTCTTAAAAGATTTTATTTATTTATTTATGAGAGACACAGAGAGAGGCAGAGACACAGGCAGCGGGAGAAGCAGGATCCATGCAGGGAGCCCGATGCGGGACTCGATCCTAAGGCCCTGGGATCAAACCCTGAGCTGAAAGCAGATGCTCAACCACTGAGCCACCCAGGAGTCCCTATTTTATTTTAATTATTTTATTTATTTAATTTTTTTAATTAAAAAAAAAAAAGAATCCAAACAGAGAAAACCCTCTTGTGAGAGAGGGAAATGAGACATTTGCTCCTGATTCCCTAGGGATGGGGTGAGCCCCCACCCCCCCACACACACACACCTCATCGCAAGAGCTAGTCGCCAGAACCGGCCCATTCGGCCTTCCTACCTGTTGTAGGACGAGGACAGGCAGTTCCGGGCACACTGCCTTCTGTATTGGGTCGTCTGGTGTTTCTGTTTTTGTTCTAACAATAGAAATGCCAGTGGGAATAAAGGGAGGTGTGACCCTCCAAGCTGGCTCCTGGCCAGCCAGACATTAGGAAGGAAACCCGGCTCCCGGCTGTGTTTCCTGGCCACAGTGGTTGGTCCCCAGAGCAGGACAGGACGAGGCTCAGGTGTGAACTGCCACCTGCCACATCTGCGGGGCTGCTGGGACCGGTGGAGCTGGTGGAGCCGGTGGGGGAGCTTGCCCTTTGAGTCAGTGGGGTCACCTCTTCGAAGTCTGTGGTCCCCAGCACCAGGCTGTCCCCTCTGTGCTGTGTGGGGGCCATCCCCCAGAAAGAGGGCTGGAAGGAGCTGGCTCAGGGGCCAGCATGACAGGCACCTGCCCTCGCCTGAGTTGCACAGCCCAGAGGCCTGTCAGCTGAGCACTGACCTGGGTGCTAGAGTGGGACTGGGGTGCTGAGAAAGGCAGGGAGGTGGGCGCAGACCACCATCATCAGACCCGATGATGACAGTTGTCAAGAGGGCCGAGGCGCTAGACAGAGTGTGTGGTCACCTCCGCCCCCAGCCTCAGGGGGCTGGGGCACCTGTGCCCAGGTGGGCGGAATACTAGGTCTGTCAAGTTCTCTACCAAGAAAGGGCTTTGTCATCCCATGCAGTTGGACGATCAACATACTCTTCTGTGCGTTGGGGATTCAGCAGGCACCCCAGCATCGTGAAGGCCTGAAGTGAAGACCCCGTTAGATGTGCTGCCTTGTGCTCTTTGTTTTGTGGGCAACATCTGGGCCCCCTAGTGCCGTGGGTCTTAACCCTGGGGCTGGTTTGGCCTGCCAGCAGGCATTGGCAGTGTCTGGAGACATCTTTGGTTATCATCTTCTGGGGGGGGGGGACGCAAACGCCACTGCGTAGTGCCCAGGGCAGCACAGCCCCCCAACAAGGGTTGTCCAACCCCTCACATCTGGTATTGACAGAGTTGAGGGGCCCTGTCCCAGGGTGACTCAGAACCTCGGTACTGTTCAGGGGTGAGAGACCTTGGCCCATCGAAGTGACAAGCAGCAGCAAGGGACACGTGGGGGGCTCAGTGGTTGAGTGTCTGCCTTTGGCTCAGGGCGTGATCCCGGGGTCCTGGGATCGAGTTCCTCATCGGCCTCCCCGCAGGGAGCCTGCTTCTCCCTCTGCCTGTCTCTTCCTCTCTGTGTGTGTCTCGTGAATAAATAAATAAAATGTTCAAAAAAAAAAAAAAAGAGAAGCAGCAGCAAAATCTACAGAAGCCTCATTCGCTGGCTCTGAGGCCCCTTTTGTGGGCACAGTGGATACGTACCCCTCAATCACAGAGAGCCCTATTTTCTTCCCTCGTGGTGATTAAAGTCCAGCTGCCACTCATGGTTGTGGCATCTTCGATTTCAGAATGACAGCTTAGAGCGGGGCCTCGGGGTGTCACATCTCACCAGGCCTTGCAGTGCCCATGTGTCACAGCACGAGGCCATGGCTCACCTCCCACCCACCCCTCCGTAGATCACGATTCTTTTTTTTTTTTAATTGACGTTCAATTTGCCAACATAGAATATAACACCCAGTGCTCATCCCGTCAAGTGGATCACGATTCTTGATTCCTCTCTCTATCCCGGGGCTCAGACACCCGTGCTCTCTGCATCCACGCTCTGGGGTGGATGGGAGGAAACCTGTTTTGGCATCTTCTTTTCTAGCTTTTGAATGAAACCTCTTCTATAGAGGATAAAACAGCAGCCATGTAGGCATTTCTCCCTATGGGGCGCGTGAGAATTTTGTCTAGATAGTCACTCATCCAGTTGTACAGGCACCTGTCAGGAGATTGAAATTTTTTTTTAAAGATTTTATTTATTTATTCATGAGAGACACACAGAGAGAGGCAGAGACACAGGAAGAGGGAGAAGCAGGCTCCCTGCGGGGAGCCCGATGTGGGACTCGATCCCAGGACCCCGGGATCATGACCTGAGCTGAAGGCAGGCGCTTACCCACTGAGCCATCCAGGGGTACTTTCAGGTGGTTCTATTGCCCTGATAAGTTTGAGGCCAAGCCCCTATGGTTGTGCTCGTGCTCCTGCGAAAGCAGCAGTAGTAGAATATGCCAGATGCTATTCTCAGTGCTGGGGGTCACACCACAGACCATCCACACCTGTGTGATCCCTGCTCCCAGGAACCCACGTTCTAGCAGATGACTGGGGCAGATGAGCTAATGTGCAGTATGTCAGATGATCCTTGTTTGCTCTCATGAAAAGAGTTGCAATAGGACAGTGGGACAGAATGGGGCTGGGGAGTTAGGGATGGCCCCACAGAGGAGATAATGACTATGTATGGGGGGTGGTAGTGAGGTGTTCTGGGCCAGGGGACAGTGAGTGCAAAGGCTCTGGGGCAGAAGTGACCTTGGCATTTTCAAGAACACAGAGCAAGCCAGTGTGGCTGGAGGGTGGGGGGTGGCAAGGAGGAGAGGGGTAGGTGATGAGGGGAGAGCGGTCAGCAGGATCAGACCCTGCCAGGCCCCCCAAGCTACAGGAAGGCGGTGGGATTTCATTCTGAGTGAAGTGGGAAGTGCGGTAGAGATGTTTTGTCTTAGTGAGACACTGCCTTCGTGAGGCAGCCAGGCAGCACTCGGCTGTGTCAGGATTGCTCTCCGTTAGCAGTGGTGGCAATTGGGGTGCTTACCTGCACGGGAAGGGGCTGGCAGTGAGGGCAGCGTGGGAACCTCAGCCTTGTTCATTGACTGCAGATACTGCGTATGGTCATTTCTTTTCTTTTTTTTTTTTTTAAGCTTTTATTTTATTCATGAGACACACACAGAGAGAGGCAGAGACACAGGCAGAGGGAGAAGTAGGCTCCTAGATACAGGACTCGATCCCAGGACCCTGGGGTCACGACCTGAGCAGAATGCAGATGCTGAACCGCTGAGCCCCCCCCAGGCGCCTCCCCCCCGCCCCCGCCCACCGCCCCAGTCTGGTTATTTCTGAAGGAGGACGTGGAAAAACAGGTCCTGGAGAATATTAGTGGGAACCCCAAATTAACCCAGCTAGAGCAAGCTTAGGCCGTCTCCCCTTCACGAGGTCCAAGGTCAGTTTTACTCTTGAGTCATAGCTTCTGGAGAGGATTCAGCAGCCACCTGTGGACGGGGCCTGGTTCTTTGTTGATGCAGGTT